AGGTCTACAAGCTGTCTAGCTGTGTCAGACTAGCAGGAGCTAAATAGCCTGGCTGTTTTTTTCTGTCTGCCTGTACACAGCCAGTGGCTTCCACGTGGCTTTGCATCGTTTTGCGATTTGTGAATTCCAGACAGACTTGGGTATCTCTTAGGTAAAGATTATTACTGATATTCTCCCTTTCCCCATTTTTCATAGTGGAGATTAACTTTTACCTGTGCTTACTTAGAGTGTGTTTTGTGTTCCTAAACTCTTACAACACCTTCAATTTTTCAGTTTTTGTCATCAAAAATAGCCAAGTGATCCTGATCTCTGAAGCTATTATCTAAATGTACAATAATACCCCAATCATAATTAGTCTTTAGAATGCTTTTGTTTCAACAAAAATAAGCCTGGAGGTAGATTCCTTTGTTAAGCCTGGGAGATCAAAACTGTACCTCAGTTAAAGGAGTTGACTGATTTTTCCAGTAGGCATTCAGGGAGTTACTGCTTTTGATCGTAAGGAGAGGGACTTCAGTCATTGGGACGTTCAACTAGTCTGGGCATTTGTTTGGGGAACCAAATTTCCCCCTCAAAATGTGGGGAAATTCCACATGCTTAAGGGCAAGGAAGGGAGAATCAAAATTATATTTCTGAATATTCGAGCGAAAGAAGATGTAAGGCATACTTGGATGGCTAAAGAGAAGAAGCAAGAATTGAACAAATTCTTAACAGTTATGCCAAAATTTAATGAGAGAACAGGTCGATTAAGAGTTGATGGAAAAATAGAAATTCTCTAGGACTTCTTATTGACAGCTGCTCAGTTTCCCCTCTCTCACCGAGTAAATACAGCAAAAAAAATTAATGTGGAGAAGTAGAGAGATAAATGGAATGATCCCTAATACTCTGGTAACAAGACTTCTTAGACCAGTGTAATTTTTCTGTTCTCTCTTGACATTTTAAATAAGATATATGTGCTGGTAGACGTTTCAAATTTTAAATGATGACCTACATAGTGTAATATGTCAGAAGAGCATTTCTCTGTCGACATTCCTCTGAATGAGAAATGTGCTAGACAGCATGTACCACTAAATGTTAATAGCTCTAAAGCTACACAAATTGTAAATTTATTGAGTTGTGTTAATAATGAGATGAATTCTTAAACTACTCACAGAATTCTGAAATAGCTGTAACCTGATCAGAATGAAAGGTGCCATAATATTCGGAACTGACAGGCAAAAGAGACCACAGCCAGATGATTTTGCTAAAGAGAAGGAACCAGTCTCTACCTGGAGATTAGACTGCTTTGGGGCATGTGACTGAAGGACAGAGCAACACAGACACTATATGGTGATTCTTACAGTACCTTCCTCATATGATTACTTGAAACAGTTACGCTTACATTAAAAAAATGTAAGTTTCTAACTCTAATAGCTGCACAGAAAAGCATGACAAGGAAGAGGTAGGAACTGCTGGTCTCCACAAGAAGCTTACAGCAAAAGGTTGAGCTGTCACCTGCTAGTTTTTGGTCAGCATGGTACTGTCTCCAAGGCACACTGTTTGGGAGGGAAGGTGTGGAGCTTCATAAGTCTAAGATCAGCAAAGACCTGGGTGAATGGCACAGAGGAAGAAGGTAACCAACCCGGTCTGCTCTCCGAGGTAGAGTATGAAATGCATGCTGCTTCTCTGGGAATAGAAACGGTTGAGTCAGAAAGGGACTCTGTGTCAAAATGTCTCTGTGACTTCCCTTAATCCAGGTCAGGATGTAGCCTGCTTCTGAAAGCCTGCAAATGCAAACAAATAGCCAGAAACTCAAAAGAGGGAAAATATATTTGATTTTTTTCTGTGTTTCAGTGTTGATATCTCACCTAGGATTTAAGAGACCGGTGTCTCTGCTCTGTTTGTGATCTGCTGTGTTCACTAGCTTATATAGTCATTTTACTACGTTCAGAATGAACATGATTCTCTTCAACTACAGATATCAAGTAGTTCACTAGAAAATGCAGTTCAGGTGAGAGAAGAAATCAGAATCTGCTGTCCCTTAACATCATCATCATGGCATTGGCAAACATGAGCCAGATATTGGTTCTGATGATTCTGATTCATGAGTTTAGTGCAAATGGCACATGGTGTCTGAAACATTAGGTGAACTGAAGGCTGAGGGGTTCTAATGAAGAGGAATTCCTGCACCGTATAGATGGAAAGTATACGCCTGTTGAGTTAGATGAGGGATGTTAAACACTTTGTCTCTGAAATCTGGCCTCTGTCACCCTTGTTCTAATCTTCCCCAGATAGAGAGGCAACAGAAGCATTTATCTTCTCAAGGCCTGATCCATCCCTACATTACGCTGTGCTTACAGCAGTGCAACTCCATCCTTATGAATGGTGCCCCTGCAGAGCACAGTTGGAACAAAGTACCAGGTTCTCAGTCTCTTATCTACCTCTGTGAAAAATAAACTCAGCTGTTCCACTGTTCCACACTTCCCAGTTAATATAGGCAGAAATCCTGACAGGTAGTAAAAATGTATTTTTGTACCGTCATATAACCTTGAGCACTTTGCCTTGTCATTTTTTTGTTATTTTCATCCAGTCCAGTATGCAATCATGCAGTGGCATCACAGAGAAAACCAGATTCACACAATTACACTTCTGCATTGATAATGGATTATACATCTGAAGATATTGATCGACTGCAAGGAAAATAAATTGAAGTAATACAGGATTTGAGAAAGCTGCTGACTACAGATAACTGGGTCTGCAATCTTTTAGTATACTTCTTTGTTTTAGCTTATTTAGACATCAGGAAAACTACAGAAAGAAATTTTCAGTAATTCTAGAAAAATTCTATCCTATTCTAATCCTAACTAGACTGCGCTGTATTACTATTAGTAAAGATCTGAAGAAATGATAGCTGAGAGGACACTGAAGTAGACACATCTGAACAATGCCAATGTTCCCATGACAGTATCTTACAGACTTTGGTGGCCAGTGCAAAGTGGATGAGGGATCTTAATCAGTACATATCATAAGAAACAAACAACCAAAATATATCATTACTGTTCACTGGTAGTTCTATTAGAGATGTCAAAAACTGCATCAGCATAGATACACTTCAATAACAGTACGTTCTCCCCTTACAGGGAAGGCTGGAGCTTATTTGCAGAATGAGTATGCTGTACCTGCATCACCTGATTAGGAAACGGGAGATTTCCCTTTCTCAGTTTGTCAGTCTGATCCCTTTGACAGTTACTAAAATTTAGTTAGGAAAAAAAAATTTGATTATGATACGATGGAAGGAGCTCAAAGCTACAATTAGGACATTTTCAGAATTTGTCAGAGAGGTGATTCAGCCCTTCACTGTCACTCCTGCTGTTTCTTGGTCCCTGAGCTGAGTTTTCTAAAGGCAGCAATAATCACCTGTTACTTACAACTTTTTGTGGGGATATTTCTTTCATTTTAATTTCTCTCATTCATTTTTAAGAGCTCTTTGACTTATCCCATCTTCTCATGCTCTTACTGCTGATGTGCTTCCTGGTCTTCCTGTCTTCCTTCTTCCATTCTTTGCTCCTCATCAATCATGGACAGTAAAATTCAATGTATTTACTTAATGCTGATGTCCATAGTTGGATCCAGTACCACCATACAACTCTAGGATATGATGCTACAGGACAATAAAAACTCACCAGCCAGGAGAAGAGTGACACTGTTTACAGGCCAAAAAAACATAGCTTTGGATGCCAGGATTTCCTCTGATCTAGTCAACTCTCTAACTTTCTTTTCAACCTCTGCCAAGTCTTTTAATCTTTTTCCTTGCTAACTGTGGCTAATTTCTGTAACAAAAGGAGTTTTTTGAAAGTGATTAATATTTACATTTAAAAGGTAAAGGTACATCTCGCATTGGGCTAATCCTAAAACCAGGTGAGGTTTTTGTGTTCAGGATCCAATATATTCCATTTCCTATGGAGTAAGTATGCCAGAACTGGTTAAAAATAGCTTCTTCCATTCATTAGAGTCAGCAGAGGGCCATTAATCTTCCTGAAAGTATTGATTCAAACTCCTCGTCTCCACTTTCAAGGCCCTTCACAGACTACCCTCTCTCCATCTATCATCTCTCCTTACACAACTGAAAAGGTGGCTGGCTTTGTAACAAGTGGCTGACAGTTACAAACCAGCAGTCTCTCCTACATGCTGCCCCTCACGTCTGGAGGGAGCTGTACACAGCATTAACAAAGCTTTTCCATTTGTCTCCTTTAAATGCTTTCTAAAACTCTCTTTTGCCATAAGGACTACAAAAACTTTACATAGTTATATGCTAGCTTGATGGGAGTAGAGCCTGCCTAGGACATGATCTTGCAAAGGTTTGTCTTATCATTTATTTACTTCTCCACCTCTGGTAACTCTCTGTCCCAAACTGCAATGTCTTGTCTCATTCCTAGATCGCAATAACTTGAAGGCAGAGTCTCTGCACTACGCATTATCAAGCAGAATGTTTCCCAGTGTGCTACTGCAATATATGCAGCTAATGAGAAATAAATGTTAGCTCAGGTGGCCAAGAACTGTAGGGTGCATCACAAAACGGCACACAGTGCCAAAATTCATGAATAAGAGCAGGCCAAAACTAGCAAGCCAGCATGCTAAGTGTTTTGGCCTTGCTGCAATTTATCCTCTGTAAACTCAGTGCTGCATTTCAAAGAGTAATGCCTGACATTCACTGAGACTTACTAGCTTAAGCTCAATATTAAGCCAACATAAATAGATTTCATGCAGATCATAAACAGCCATCCTGTAAGTTTCTGTATTGCAGTTCCCTGTGCACCAGTTCTGTTGTTACCCACAGCAGATAAATCGTGTTATTTCCATCCTAGCTGGCATAGATGTGCCTCTATCATATATGATAGATTAACTCTTTTACATCTAGAATTGATGGTCTGTTGTTTGTTCATGAAGCTACATATTCACTGTGGTTCCTTTAAAACTCTAGACTAACAAATCTGACTAGTGCATTTATCTTCCTTCTGCTTTAGTTTCAAGATCTTCCCAAAGCCATATGGATATTGCTGAAAGAAACAGTGACGATGGTACAAGCTCTCACCAGGAAGATGCTTCACAGATACGAAGAAATATTTATTCTGTTCTTTCCCAAACCCAAATTCCAACACAAGAAACTACATATTTTCTAGGAAGACATCCCACAGTCATTAGCACTCCACCCCTTACAATGAAAAGGAATTTTTCGCAGGCTCAGATATCATCAACAAAAAGAAGTGATATGGAGTCCCTATCACCTGAGAAACAGTCTTTTCTTGAAAAAATAAAGATTGGCAGTGATAAACACACTTTCCTTCTGCATGAGGAACCAGACCCCAAAGTAGCAACTGTCAGTATGACCACCCATATCCCTCTTCTTTTTAAACAAAATACGCCAGGTATAATACAGACTGCCCCTTCTCATCTCAAGATAAATGCCAGTTCATTCTTTACAAGGCCACATGCTGTTCAGCAAACTCGTTCCACATATGGCTATTCTCCTAGGAAGTGGCTAAGCAGGGTCACAGTCTCAAAGACCAAAGCATCCCAAGATTTTGGAAAAGAGCAGCAAAGAACATCTCCTTTGGCATCACGCCTTACTTCCTCATTTCATTTAACAGGTCATTCTTTTGATACAGCTCCCCCGAGTGCTAACCTCCCATTTGGGCCTGTTTTCCAAGCAAGGCATCCAGCACAGACCACAGCAATCAGAAAAGCACACAGCATAGCAAGGGATCATCTGGAACTGCCAAAAACCCTAAGTGGGACGCAACGCCAAAAAGTCCTTTGCGCTAATACGCTGTGCTTCACTGGCGTGCAATGCGAGCCAGCCAAAGACGGAGGATTTAAATGTGGGCCTTGCCCTCCTGGATACGGTGGTAATGGAACTACATGTGAAGGTAAGGGGGAAAATCCTCTTTCAAATTCTTTTGTAACTTCAAATCTAATCATTGCCCAAAATAATGATTTTTATTAAAAAGTTGGAGATTTTGCCTGGCGGGATCATGCTTGTTTTCAAAGCCAATTATATTTTAAAACAATAAATGAACTTCTATAACTCAGAAAAAAAAAGTTATTTCCGCTTACAAAATGACATACTTATTTGATAACATCTAATCTATTAAAACCAGGGACAGATTGTGATCTTGCTTGCCTTTCCTTAAGGCCAGATTCACTCTACTGAAGTCATTATATTTGAAACCATATAAAACTTCTGAAGGAAAGAGTAAAATTGACTCTATTTGTCTATTTGTATACCAGGAAAATCTAATCATCATTTTTCTATCTTAAAAATTACTTTTAAATATCTAGCTAATATCCTAAATACAAAACTGAACTTGTCGTCTGAAATGTTTGTCACCAGAAGGGTTTTCATAATATATTGACTTACAAACAATAGGATTACACACAGTTTCTGAAACAATGAATACCTCGACTTAGTTATCATTAATTACATCTTTTTGCTGAAATCCCTCTGATAATTTGATATCTTAATTGGCCTTTCACTGCTAACAACACAATGCAAGAACGTTTGCATGACCTATTTAATTCTCTTTTGCAAATGGTTTCTCATGTTCTACACACAGGTCGTATTGCCGTGTGCAGGCTGCACCGCAAGGCTCTGCATACCACCTGGGGACTCCCTGATACGAGCAAATCTTTGGGGGAGGGGGTATAAAGCCCCTAATACTATTGCAGCCCTTGGAGCTCTGAGCAGTCCTGGAGACTTACAAAAAGCTTAGAAAAGGTTACTATAATCGAGGGTGCTACCGTTTTCACCTGTTTGCACCTTTCTGAAATGTCCCTTTTAAAGGGCTTAAGGCAGACTGGCATGAGAAAGACCCTGTCTTTGACCCCTATTTTACACCTGGAGCTGGGGAAGTACTAAGTAGCCCCAAGTCTTGGCAAGTCCCAAGCAAGTCTGACTGCAGAATGGCCACCTCTCAAACACAAGGTCTACACACGCATCTGTATTTACAAATACGGACATATGGCTGCTTTGTGTATATTTAGTATGGCCATCAGTATAGTACTGAAAACATAAATCTAGCTCTGCCTTCTACTGTCTCACAAGACAAGGTATTCTCTTCAACTGCTAGTATTACTGAAAATATCTCTGGGAAGTCCGTAAGACGAAATACTTTATTGTCAACATCATTCACTGTCTCAGGGTTTGGTGACATGATGCACATTCTTTGTGTCACTTGTCACTGCCCATATCACCTAACTAAATAATAAGCATGTCTGCTCTGTGATTCTGCTTCATCACAAGCCTCTCTGTGCACCTGCCTATTACTGTCCTGAAACATGGCCCAAATGTCTCCGTCATTGGATCTGTGTGAAGAACATCCATTGTACATCCAGCTGTTCACGTTTCTTCCCATGTCAAATGCAGCTGATTCATATTGACAGGATGTAGAAAGATGAGGATAACTCCTTGCTTTAAGGACTGCCATAATCTCTGCTATTAGTACCTCACCATCCAGCCACAATCGTACTGATTTCCCTCAAAACAGCAGTACTAAGAACAGAGACCAGAAGAACTGAACAAGTGATCAGATGAGACCAAACCTTGTGAAATCTTTAAGCTTTGATGCAACATCCATGGCAAGTGAGCAAAAACGTTGACAGGCTCAGACACTTTGTTGAGAGTTGTCATCATTGTATTTGATACTGAAATTCACTGAGCTAAAAGAAACAGCCCATCAGTATCAAGGTTCAATATCTGTGGAGCTTGGGGGAATGTGACCTTTGTTTAATAAGTGTGTCTGAAAATACTCCAAGATAATAAATACTTTACTGAATGATACTTTTCTTGTGCCAGAATGTAGATTTGTTGTTACTTGTGCAGGTTCAAAATCAGGCTTGGAGAACTAGTTGGGAAAAAATAAGCTTCCTGAAAATGAATTACTCTTCTAAACTAAATCAGATCGAATTTTATTTCTGCAATATTCATATCACTTTGGACAAGCCCCTTACTCTCTTTCTGATGTAATTAGAAGTCTCTCCCCTCTACTCTGTCTTCCTACTATTAACATCAGAGTCACAGGAAGTCCAAGTTGGAAGAGACCTCTGGGGAGCATCTGGTCAAATCTACTGCCTCCTTTTGGAAGAACATAGCTAGATTTCATTGTATTTGGCTTACACTTAGTCATCTAAACTGAAACATTTTCAGGAGCTCTTCGCAAGCCTATGTCAGACCACTCCCTTAATTACTGACAACTTTGTGGTACGTAAGAAGTAGGACCTTGCTTCTACCTATCTTGCTTTGGCATAATAAACATTACAGATTCTTAACTCTCCTACAATTTCTGGCACCAGCTAATTACACTGCAGATGAACTGAGATGAAGTAGTTTCCTCAAGGCTCAACTCATCACTTTCATACCCTTTCCTATACAGCTAGTCAAGTTCACAGTTTGTAAAGGCCTTTTATCTTCCTACGCAGAGGTAGTATTATCATTTATTAGTGGCCTAATGTTAGGACTAGTATGCTAAATGTGCAAGGCCTCAAAATACATCAGTTCAGGGGAGCATTTTGGAAAAAGCCAGTATCACCTACCTACACAATAACAAAAAGTAAGCAGGAGAAGTAAGACCTACTGCAGCCCAGTGGATTCTCTTGCTTTTTCTCTTGCAAAAGGTGCTCGCTTGCCTTTATGGAATAAACTTAGCTCAGTGTTTCCTGGTGATGAGGGAGGTTGCTAAACGGACTGATCTCCACTCCAAGTGTTCTTTTCAAGGATATATACCATAAAACCAATACATTATTATGATACACTTTTAGCAGTTTTATAGGCGAGCGCCTTTCACTTTCCAAACTGCACTGCAGAAGGGTCATACTACTTGAGTGAGCTTTACCTGAGCTTTACATTTTCAGCTCACTATGCCAACAGAATTTAAAAAAAAAAACTAGTACTTTAATAATTCACAACCAGTTCAAACAGGGTTGTTTTCAGAATGTTTTTTATACTTTGTCTAATACAGTCACAGTGGAATGGGTAACAAACACATCACCTCATAAGATTAGAGGCTAATGCTCTGAAACGTTCGTTAGGAGGCTGTTGGGGGGCTGTCACCCTAAAGCAATTACTCCTAGTCCTGCTTCCGTTCTCCCCTCTACTACAGAGATGCTTGCATTTTCAAAGACATTGTATCCACCGGATAAGGAAAAAAATACTGTTTTTTCCCTGGGCTTGTTTTTTCACCAGGGTCTGTGCATATGTTGCTGTCTGAGAGCAGCTGTTATACTTCTTGGGCTCCTTAGGGTTCCCTGAGGTGGAACATGTCCTTTCCATCCTGTAACAGAGTTGAAGCTAACAAAACCTTCTGCTCTGGGCGTTTTTATTGTGCTTCCAACTAAAAGACCTAAACCTGAAGACTGAAGAAAAATAAGAATTTAAACCAAATTCCTGGTCATTCTTGTTTTTATTTAACTCCAAGGTTGTTAAAAAAGGGAGAGTCTGGTTACTAAAACTGTACAATTAAAAAGTCAAAGACTGAATTCTGTAAAATACAGGCAATTGTTTAAAACTCTTTTGGATTAGATGACAGTTAAGGAGTATTATCTATTATTTTAGTAGTCATAAAAGTTCCTCAGAATTCCTATGGAGAATAAGATCTTGCTATTTTAGAAAGAGGTACTTTCCTTAAAATGTTTAGGCAGTAGAATTCTGGGGTATTTCTCTATTTTCTGAGGGGAAGGAAATCTGCTCTAGAATGGTGGCAGTCATGCTTTCTGCTCACGAGATGAAAACACCGCATTACCTCGACGTTACAAAATGACCATACAAACCAAATAATTTTCAAAATAACAGTAAAGACAAAGTAGTTGGGAATGTATTCTGATCTCAAGATGCACAGCTGGATGAAATAAGGAAAAATATCAGGTGGCTGACATTAGTCTGTTATGACATTATAACACATACAAAGCTTATCAGACCACATCAGACCAAAAGCTCATCCCCTGGTGCCAACAGCTACCAACAGCAGATGTCCAGCAATGTATGAGAAAAAAATACAGGGATACTATCTAGAATATTCTCACAGCAGCTTATGGATCACGGGCTTCAGAAAGCAGAAGTCTTTGTAGGTCATATCCGCCAGTATGCATTTCTTCTGTGAGTTTATCCAAATGCTTTTTGAAGGCATGTAGTTGCCCATAGTTCTACCAATGAGCTGCACAGCTGAACTATGTGCTGTTTAGCGGATTATCTCCTTTTTCTTTTGAACTATCTATCTCCTAGTTTTTCATCGTCCTCTTTTGTATTGAAAGAGAGTTAGTAATTGTACCTTGTTCAACTTTTCCAGGCCACTCATGATTTCATAGTTTCCTGTCCTATCCCCCCAAGTCATCTGACTCTTTTCCAAATATTAAATCTATTTATTAGTTCTTTATACAAAAGCTCTTCCATAATTCTTACTATCCTTGTCACCTTTTTTCTCCATCTTTTCCAGTTTTACTAAACCTCTTCTAAGCTGTGGGGATCAGAACTGAACATGGTATTTGAGGTGCAGCTCACCATGGCTATAGGCCACAATAACGTCTGGCATTTTGTGCTCTGCTCCTCTCCTAACAGTTCCTAACATTCTGCTTGCTTTTTTGACTGCAGATGAGCACTCAGCTGACATTTCATCAAAAAAAAAAAAAAATCCATTAATACAGCCTAAGTAGAACTGTTGTCTGCATTTGTATTCCCAATTTATCCAGTCAAATTAATCTTGTTAATTTTCTATTTGCTATGATGGGTATTTATTTCATAACGGGGCTCTGGACTGCTGGACTACTTAAGTAAGCATATGAGTTATTTTAATTGCACTAATATATGAAACAGTCCTGCACAGAAGACCAGCATAGGATATACATAGCGCAGCGTACTGCAGCAACACATAAGCTGTTTTCCAGTCTTTGAGTGGCATAAGCCTCGGCGTAACACAGAATTCGTGCCTCATCTAATTCGGTGATCATTTTGCATGTGTTCTTTAATGTCTGCAGCGTAGTTACTTGATTTATCCACAGCAGTCTGTCAAAACCCACATGGAAGGCATATGAAATATAACTCCAATCCATGTTGCTGAAAACGAAATGGTTGGCCAGACCTGCCAGGTCCATCTGACTTTGATTTGATTGTAGAAATATTCACCTGCTCCCATTTTTTCTCTTAATACGCACTTTGCTGTCATCTAAGGAAAAACACATTGTTGCTTCGCAGTAGGCTTACCTCAGTATCTAGACACCTCCAAATACAAACATGTAGAGGAACTAACAAGAATAGACACTAAATTAAATAAGGCACTAAACTTCCACAGATTTTTATTGACTTGGCAATCTGATCCTCCACAACAGCACTATTTTGTGGCATAAATAGTATAAGATATTTATTCAGAATGACTCTTCCACATAGTTGAACAGTTGCTCTAGGAATGTATTTGATCCCTAGATTTGAACAAGTACGAGAAATGGGATACATATACATGAGGGTCGTACATCTCATCTTTAGCAAGGCACAAAGCCAAGTTCAGTTGAACATCTCTATGTGCCGCACTTTTCCATTTCCTGTGACTGAATGAAAGCCATCAGGGCAATGGTAGATTTCAGTCCTTTCTACCTTTTTTTGTCTCTTGTGTTGGGGAACTGTAAGGAATACATCCTTAGGTCCAAAAATATTGTTTCTATATTGTCCATTATCAAATAAGCATGAGAGATGCTGATGGATAAACATACACAGATAGGGAAATAAATTAAACACTTCTTAAATACAATCTACCTTGATGAAAGAAAATCATAATGTGGTTTTCATTTTGAATCCAATCCAACACCGTCTACAGGGACTTAGATTTTTTCCCACTTACTATAGTGGAAACTAGACTGGGTTTTTACCGTGGCAAGATGACTGCCAATTGAAAAGTCTGTACTTGTCCTTTATACATCTTTGCTATACAACTGGGCCTTATTTCCTTTCTCTGTGTATCTTAAGTGCAAAAGATCAATCCATATCTGTTCAAAAGTAAAACTGTTAATCTGGTTAGTCTCCAAGATAACTTTCTTTTTCTTTTCTTTTTGTTCCCTCCCTCATACTGTACATTTTAAAACTTCATCTGTACCTTTAGGAGGTTAGGTTTGTGTATCTTTGAGAGAAAATAAACCACTGACAATAATTACATGAAACAAGGTAGACTGTGCTCCTTCCAATGAAGCCTGTCCCCATCTGATTGTCTTTACAAACTTTTGAACAGGACTGCAGGTCATGATCTCAAAGCTCACAACCTTCCTTTAATAGAGTAAAACAAGGACCTCACATGCTAGACTGCCCAGGCAGTTTATTCACTGTTGAGACATTAAGCAGTAACTATCCTGTAAGCCATTTGCGGATTACGATATCAAAAATGGAGGAAACAACACAGCATGTAGTATTTCTGAGTACCCTCAAAGTTATCATGGGGAGACCTATAAAAAGTACTTGATCTCATCTTAAAAAAAAAAAAATAACACACACACACACAATGAAAGTATTTTAATGAAAAAAGTAGTTTCAGGATATTTTCCAAAAACCACTTTCAAAGAAAACAATAATGGACTTCTCAATTTCCCACCTCCAGATTTTAAATCATAAACATAAACATACATACATTTGACAAGAAGACTGACCATTTGCAGCGATGCCTTTCTCTTTACCGCTATTTTATATCACCTAAAAATCATATACCTTTGTACAATTTAGAAAATGTTTATGGAAAAAAATGTTTATTCCAGAAGATGAAAGACAGAAGTTTGGAAAATAATGAGACATAAATAGTATATTTCTATTACTGAGGGAAATGCCTTCTAGGTGAATATTACTCTCCCTCTCTCACTGCAGCCAGACTGTTCAGCTTTTATCTTTTGCTATTCAGCAGTAATAGAATAGTTTTAAACATTTTGTTATTAAAGGTCACAATAAGAGCTAAATGTTTTAATATCCAAAATATCATGTTATTTTCTGCCAGTTCAGATGTATCTCAAAATGTGTAAAGGCCAGATGGAAAGTAGTCTATTCAACTGGACACATTCATTTTATGTCTTACCTACAAACACCCTGAAATAAAGAATAATATATTTGAATGCCACTGTGCTTGGCATAGCACTTAGACACCTGGAGGTTTTATCCAATCATCTTACTACAGGAAAAGTATGTGAAATGTGATTCTCTTAAGAAGATGGTACATTTTTCCCAGTCATTGTGTCTCCCTGGAGAGAATAGTATCTAACTCTACCTGATGTTAATTTCTAATTGTTCAAGAAAAACCTTGAAAGTAAGTTTTGTGCCTACCTAAGCACAGAAAAATTAAGATCTTTTAAATGTATGCCTGTGCAATGGAAAGTACTGACTTTGAAAGCAATAAGACCGTCACTGACTTCAGTGAGATCTAGAGTGAGCCACGGTATGCAAGAGACAGCTTGCAACTATAGTACTGCAATTTAAAAGGAGTAAAATATTTGTTTGAAAACAGCTTCCATTTCTTTCCCTTTCTTCCACTCTCCATTTCAACACAGACTGCTACCTGCTGTTTGCCCTACCATCATGAGCCCCTGAACTATCTGAGCCTCTGACCTACTCCTGTAGCTGCTACAGGTTAAACTAGATCTTTGGAAAATTCAACACAGCTGCCTGAATGAGTCTAAATCAAATTTATGTAGTTGTCCAGAAGATTTTCCGATGTACACTTCAATTTTAACCCAGCACACGCTGAAAAGGAAATGTCTAAATGTTAGCCCACCAAATCAAACCTGAATTTAGCTTAATGTCATTCTCAGCATGTATAGTATAGATCAAAACTATATCTATTGAGGTTTCTGTTCTCACACATCTAAATTCTAAAGTTATGCTAATACATAATCGAAAATTTTGCAGTTAAAACTGAATACTAACAGGTATTTTAAATACTGAAATACCTGAAGAGCAGATCTAATACCAAATGATATTTCTTTAATGCTATTTATGTCAAAAAAGTTTATTAAAAGGCACCTTCTTGGAGCTTGTCTTTTTAACTGCAATTAAAAAATCTGTGGCGGCTTTCACAACTTTGTGAATAGATGTACTTCATGTACAATGGCTGTATATGAAGTCTTGGTGAAATCACCAGAGGTGGGGAGGCCTTCAACGGATGAACTTCATTTAAATTATCTGGTGCCACGAGAATCTGTCCTTCACTTATTTTTTTTCAATTATGCAGTCCAAAACTGTACTCTCAAAACTTCACAGTTTTAAGAACAAATTGTGCTAGGTTTGTTTTTTTCCCCTTGTAGCAATACTTGAAATGAAAGATACTTTGTTTCAAATCTCTTTGGTTTCTTTCCTTGTTATGCTTTTTCCTTGGAATAACCTTGCTTAGCTTCATACCCATTACAAAAGATACAACTCTGCCAGTAAAGTGCACCAAAGTACAGTATTTTTCTCTGCCTTCACTTCCCAAGCACAGGGATAGGTATTTTTTATTCTGTTATGTATTTGTCAAAGGTTTAAGTGGGAGCCAGCTGACACGTATGCCTTATTCTGCTTCTGAGCACAGTATTTTATGTTTCAGTGGCCTTCCTACAGCAGTTTCTTCTCTCATACTCTCCTGCATTTCACATACAGAACTACTACTTATTAGACGGTTACAAATAGAGGCATTCAGGATGCAAAACTTTACGTATCTGCCTTAGATGTTTAGGTTCAAGCGGCTAAACCTTCTAGGCCCCACACATGATTAATGCCATTAGAAATGTTCTTCCTCAGTCCCTAATTCAGACTCCAGGTCTGAATCAGTCTCTGGAAGAGTATCTGTCTATTAAGTATATAGAGTGCTCAAAGAAAACAGCTCCCTAACTTAATTAAGTACATAAGCTAAGCAATGTGAAACCCCCTACACAGTACACTAAATTCAGATCTTTACCTTTTAAAAGAGGTGAGTTCATTGCCTGACTCCCAGTGAAGTGACTAACACTTAAATACAAGGCAAAGTCTCCCATAAAAAGTTGTTTCTAAAGCTGTAATACTTTCCCAGTTTATGCAACGCACCTCTTCATCTTTTCTTCCAAATAACAACATTACATATTGCAATGTGTCGAGAAATCATTACCTAACTTACAGCTTTGTCTGCAGACCTCACACTGCCTATTAAAAATTTAAACTGTTGCTTAAATGTTTGCCATTTTGCTGACAAACTCCTTACAAGTCCTTTGTATTCAGACAAAACACTTCATCTCTGGTTTAGAAAAACTTCTGACACCTTTTAAGGCTTACTGGACGTCCACAAGGCACATTTGTAGAGAGGGAAGGGCAAGGTATTTTGTATTACAAATCATGTTTGTACTTTGCCCATCCTTGGACTTCAAAAATATACACTTAAAAGTGTACATGCTCAGAAATTAAACATGATTACGTTAAAATCATTCCCTTGCAAACATTATATGGCTGCTCATTAGTCGGTGCTGTTTTATTAACCTACTTACATCCCTTAGCGTTTTCCTCAGTAGCCAAATTGCTTGTTGGATTAATAAAATGGCATGTGGAAAGTAGTATTGCACTCATAACCACAAAGAATGTAATATTTGAACTGTATTCTTTCTCACGTTTTACTTCACTCATGCTTCTTGTAGTGCAGTGTGATCCACCATGTGAGCACGGAGGAACCTGTGTATCTCAAAATACTTGTTCTTGTGCTTACGGATTTGTTGGTCCTCGATGTGAAACAAGTATGTATGAATTCATTCAGGCTTTTCTTCTCGCTATATGTCTAAATTTGCAGAAAATGATAAGACCCAAAAAGTCTGTTTATTTTTCTGTATTTCCCCTCCAAATGATGATTGAATCCAGCAAGGAAATCAAAGTACAATATATTGAAGTAATATACTAGCTAAACTATTTCTGAGCATATTTTTACCAGCAGCATAGTTGTATTATGTAAAAACAGGCGCATCCATATCAACGTTTTCTAAGTAAAAGTGCTTCTAGAAAAACAAACAAGCAAAAAATTCCCTATTACTTAGAGTAACATTTATGAAATTCAAGGTTGTGTGAGTGAAGGCAGTATTACAAATTTTGAGAACACAAAAAGACAACCATACCTATTAAGAGTCATGCTATTGTGCAATACAAGCAACACAAGACGTTCAATATATAGAACATCTGGAAAAAAAATCAGTCTTCAAACCCTTCTGTGTCAGTTGAATGGTAAAATATATACAGTCTCATTATTCCAGCGCCCTTCTGATTTAAATATCAGGTAGCCCTTGACAGGAATATAATTTTATCTCTGAACCAGGATAGCCGGAATACTTAAAAGTATTCTAGATGCAAGACTTCTGATGAAAAGGATGGATAAAAAAGAGAAAAGGGGGGACAGATTCATCAGTTTACATCTCAGAGTAACACCATTGCTTTATTCGCTGCAATAGAGCAGCTTTAGCATCTGTGCCAGTGGTTACAGGTAAGAGATTCTGAACTTGATCCTTTGCTTATTTTCTAGTGGTTTGTAACAGGCACTGTCACAACGGTGGGATCTGTGTGTCACCAGATGAGTGCAAATGCAAAAATGGATGGAGCAGCCCTTCTTGCGAAATAGGTATGTGGTGAGAAATCATCAATTTATTTCTTTTGTTGCTTGAAATCCATGTGATTGGTGCAGTTCAGTGGTCATAGTGGGAACTGCTTTAAGAATTAACACTGGGGACCTAGTAAAGGGCAAAATGTTGAAAGGCTTTGGGTTTTATATAAAAGTATTCGTAAGTTTAGATGTTTACCTAAACGTCTGGGTAACATACTGGAAAGCCACAAGAAGCAGCGTTCTGCAGGCGTTTTTAAGCTCATGTGATTCTTGAGTTTACTCTGAACATGCTTAAGAATGAAAGTAAAGCTATTAAACATTTCAGAATCTACTAGCTTACTAGCTCTTTGGTATCTTCTGCAAAGGAGAATAATTCTCATTAGAGACTTTGCAGATATGTTTATTAGAATCATAGCAGAGTTGCTAAAAACATCACCACAGCCACTGACACAAGCTAACTCTTTGTCGGCTTTGTCCACGGAGAGGTCAAAGAACGAGTCCTGCCCCACGCTTGCAGCGCCTCAGTGGCAGAGAAAAGGGCAATGCATAAGTCTGCACTGCTCGTGTTCTCTTCAACTTCCACTTTCCATTTTAACCCTACACATTTATCCCAAGGTATGTTGGTGGAGGAGAAAGGAGGACAGTTTGTTTTTCGGTTATTTTTAACAGGACACATTCAAATCCGAACTTAGAAATGAAGTTTATGAAGACAGGAATAGAATGAGGTCTGATTAAGCTAGAAGAGACTTTAGGAAAGCAAATGTGACTTCTGCTGCTAAGTTGGCAGCTCTATAAGGAGTTCTGATTAATACTGTATAATCAAAGGAAGCAAAAAGAACCTTAAAAGGTAAGCTATCAGCAACTGTAACACACTACTGAGTTGATTTTGGTCCAGTTTTTACATTCAGTTTTGCACTGCAGAATGTGACTTGTGACTACAGAAGACAGAAAAAAAAAAATTGGTTCACAAGAAGAACTTAACCATTCACCACCTAAAGTTAAATATCCAGCTGCCTCCCAGAGTCCACACTATTTCTCCTGGGTGCGTTTGCCTATAGAGTACCTGCAAAGCATCCACAGCTGCCTTTGCACTCAGGTACAAAATGATTATGTGAGGATTGGAACTAGGTATCTATTTCTAGTCGGGACTCATCGTTTTGAAGCCTATTTTGAACAGATACGGCTCAGACCTTTCTCTCAGGACCTAGGTGCTAAACAGAGGAGTATATGCCTTTTCCTCCAACGGCACAACAACTATAGAACTCACTGGGACAAGTCCTGCAAAACACTGAAATATTAGAAGAAGCAAGCCTGAGGACTACCTTAATACGTTCCAAACCTCAAGGCTATTATAGAGGCATTTTGCCTATGCCAGAGTGACTTTTAAATGACTTAAAAGACACTTTCAGCCTAACTTACCTTACTCGGAAGGTGAGAGATGTCATTCTAACCTCTTTCTCCTGAGATTGCTCTTCCTGCAAGTGCTTACATGACAGAACTATTGAGGACACTTAAATTAACCTAGCTGAGATCCAGGGTAAATGATTTGTATTGCCACTAGCTACTCTGGTTCCCACTAGCTCCTCTTTTTCCTGCCAGAGATTTGTTTGTCCCACAATACCTTAGGTGAAAGACTAACTTCTCTGATTTTGTTGCACTAGACAGTATTTTGTGAAGCCTGTTGAGGTTTCCTTCCTAAAGTGAGGCATCCCCAGAACACAGGAATCTCTGGGTGCATGCACATATAGAAGTAAAAATATAGGATCTTAGGGGACTTCACCAAAGGAAATGTAAACACTGATCGAGTGCGAACATCTGTGAACTAGCTACAACAAGGAGGTAACTAATCCAAAGTCACTACTGGCAATGAATTAAGTCAATTTTGACTTTATAAGCGATTGCCACGGTAGTCTGAAAACCGTCTCATCTAGACTACAATTTCTTTTTTTTTTTCCTCTTCCTAAATTGATGTTTTACTTCTCTTTTAGTTCATCTGAAACATTTCAGTGACCCTTAATTTATTTAAGCTTAAATTTATTTAGTTTATTCAATGACCTATTCTGTAAGCTACTGAAAGACAAAAGGAATAGAAGGAAAATGACTGCTTTAAAATGTCATTCTACTCTGTAAAGAAAACTGTTATCAGAATCCTTACTTTTCACACAGTGACTTTCCAACTAAATTAGTTGATTTCACAATTCAAAATTTTTTTCATTCAGTCAGGTACTTGCCACATAGAAATATGCAAGACAGCTTTTAATTCCTAACGCCTGTTGTATCATGCACAATAGTAACAGAGAGATAAACAGGCAAAAGGGCTCAGCTTTGCTGCTGATGCATGAGCCAGCATGTTGTGGGAGCTGGCATTTAAATAAGGCCGAACAAATGGAGATTTTGCTGCGCATATCTATTCAACTTCACTGAAATGCCACTATGCTCTGCTGAATTCAGACAAAGCAGCAAATGGTTAATATCTCATTTCCAGGTCACCAAGTCATAGGTAGTGTGACTACATTTTACTGCCTTGGTCAGGATAGTAAAGTGAAAGCAGATGAACTGTGCAAATCACAGGAAGACATCAGAAATAAACTATTACATTTTATCTTATTTCATTCCCAAAGCTACGTTAAAACAACTGAACTTCTCCTACAGCCACAACAAGGAATAAATGCCATAGCACTGTACAACTGACCAGCAAGGACAACGTGCAATTTGTCCAAACATTACCAAAAATATTTATTCCAATGACAGCTGCAGCAGCAAAAGTGTGCCCACTCTAAAAAAATTTAAAATGGTGAGAGATTAATAGATTTATCTTATATTTACATACAGCTGTGTGCAATCCTGTGTGTTTAAATGGAGGAATCTGTGTACGGCCAAATACGTGCACATGTCCTTACGGTTTTTACGGACCACAGTGCCAGAGAGGTAAGAAAGTTCTATTCATCATGTTGATAAAGGATCCAGGCTTAAAATATAAACAGCAGCCTATATCACTGCCTGCCACTGCATGCAGTATATCCTGAGATTTTCCTTGTCGTAACTCCCTGTGCGCTCCTTTGATGTTAGAGTCTGTCATAAATCTGCATTAAATTGTTCTTAAAGGTATTGTGAAGGAGTAAGCACTTATTTATGATGGCATTGATGATAACTAAACAATTAAACTAAAACTATCTGCAGTAAGTGATATCACTAATGAACAACTAACTATACAATTAAAATTTAAAGCATGGTTCTACTCTATTCATTTTGCTAACGCTATAGTGTACTGTACTGTCAGAGCCCAGTGAACATATATCTTCAAATGAGCCTCACAGTATCATCTGCTTGACCATTCTAGACTTAGTGGACAGGAGACTTGCACAGGACTTCTTCAGAGCCCTGATCAAATATCGCTCCACCTAAGTTGGAGCAGGGACCTATGTCTTAAAGGGGAGGGCTCTAAACTGAGGCTAATAGTGCTTTGGGCTTTTTGGTTTGTTCACTTGCGCTACAGACACCAATCTGAAATTAATTAATATTTTAACTATTCATTAGCCCAGACAGAGAAGAGCTAATACTTAGGGTTCAAACAGCTGGAAAACTCCAGTGCTTATACTATGTGCTCTGCATTTTTTGAGGATGGCTTCTAAAGCCTCGTTTGAATCTGGGCACATAGATACGCTATTAGCAGCACTGAGCTATTTCAATATTAAAGGTTTTTCTCTTTCTTTTTTCTGGAATTCCTAGATGAATTCAATCCTAATACCTATTTTTGCAAGTGAACAATTCACACCTAAGAATTGAATTGTAACTGGAGTTTGCTAGAATTCTTCATTTTTGTGATGTTGGGGGTGAAGGAAAGAGTAAAAATAATATGGACTTTGTAACCATATGATCCTTCTCTTGACATCTGACACGGAAGGTGACTTTCAACATCTAGGTGATTGGGAATTTTTATCCTTCAGTGTTCTGGTTTAGACTAAAACTTGAAAATAAATCCCCACTTTTGTGAGATACGGAAGTGATATGGGGAGAGAACGGAAGGATGCCGAAGAAAAGCAAAGTCTTCAGCTCTGCTTCATTGAGAAAGAGAGTGCCAAAACAAGGTTAGCAAATATCAAACATTATTCCGTATTTCAAGGGTTGCAGTAGTTCTACAGAGTGGAAGACCAAAGAGATCCTGTGGCGTATTCCCCTGGTTTAACTCCAGGTCCCTTAGAAAGACACTCAGGTGCTAGGACTAGTCTCCTACATTTCTTCTGCAAACAATGGAAAGAATCGGGAGCCCCCTGCAAGGCATTTGCCCCGAATCATCCTTTGAAGGGAAACCTTCGCTACCCTGACTAGAGCTCTATAAGCTGGTCTTCCAACAGAGGCACCTAAATAAGGTGCCTGTATTTAGGCAACATTAATGCCTTGTATGATATCAGTGAATCAAACTATTTTTCTTTCCTTTCATTAGCTGTTTGCATTCCTCCTTGTAAGAATGGTGGTCACTGTGTTCGAACCAACGTGTGCTCCTGTACTGAGGGTTACATGGGCAGAAGGTGTCAGAAAAGTAAGTTACAGGAATTCTCTTTGCTCTCCAATGTTCTCTCACTCATAAACAGTTTTTTCCCCTTCCGTGCATGTTAAATATAACATTAATTTGGATTAATGCTCTAATCTTCTCTGTCTGCAGCACAGCACGTATAGCACTACTCGAGGTATAAAACCAAGCTGTTAATTAGAATACCATTGTGTCAAGTAAATGTTGGGAGTAGAACGTCTTACTGGAATCCTCTGTATATTTCATGAATTTAGACTGAGTAACACACACTGTATTTGGAGATGACCTAATTATTTGGCCTTAACGATTTAGGGGAAAAGAAAACTTAAAGCCAAAGGCAGAACAGCTGACTGAGATCCTTAAAAATGTCAAAACATCATACTTCTAGCTTAATTAATACAGTTGCCTAATAATGCTTCAGCCTTGCCTTTGTTCTTGTCACTGAAAACTCCCTCTTCACCTTAGCACCGGTATTCATATTTGATTCCTCTATTCCTATGGGGAGATAGGTTATTTTGGCACTTTTACAAACTCTATTGCTCAATAATATTTGTCACCCAGGGACTTTATGATATCTATGTGAAGATTCTTTTTTTTATTATTTCTTAACCAGTTTGAAATTGGCAAAGGGGGAGCTGTGAAAACAACCATTCTTGGCAGGAAGAATCTGTGCATTTCCAGAGCACTTTATGTCTCTCACAAACAGGGAAAAAAGCTAGTAAAAAATTCCTTCCAGCAACAAAAGCCCTCTCAATCCCCAGATTACAGCTCTCCTCTCCTTCAGCTGGGAGAATCACGATGCACAGTTCTGCCTGGCTGCAAAGTATACAATTGAATAGTCTGTTCTGGCAGGAACAAGCTGGAGGGAAGAAAGGAGGCCAAAAAAAAAAAAAAACCCTTATGTTTGGCAACATGTTTTTGAGGTTAGGGAACATTAGAAAAGCACTGTTTTTACTTTAAACATACTACTGTATCTTAAGACAGATCAGAGAAAAAAAAAAGAGTTGATGATGACTGTAGTTCCAGGAAAGCATTCCCCTAAATAGTCCAGCGCTACCAACCCACAATGTGTTTCTTTCCACTTTCAGGAGGTTTTTGATGTTTTGTTTCCCATCTTGGTATAATCTTTTGCAACAAAGCTTCCTGATACGATGAAAATATTTTTGTTTGTCTTATCTGAGCCTCCTTTCCCCTCCAACAACCAACATATAGTCTGCTTTATTTAGCTTAATGCTATAAAAGCTTTAAAAAAGGACCCATGTCTGCAGTGAATGAAAAGAAGCCTGAACAAGTAGAAAGCAAATTGTATTGTTTACTTACTCCTTTACCGGCCACTGAGTATTAATAGGTAAAAATAGTTGAGTAATACACTATTTCGTTTAAACCCACCGCACATAGAACTTGCATCACGATATGCAGAAACAAGTAAGGTTATTCACAAGGTTTTTGTAGCAAACAGTTGCTCTTAGAGCTTATCTTATCACCGATGTCGTATGACACAGTCTCTTTCTCTGCATGGGGTAAAGGCCTTAACCTTGACCTGTCACAGGATCCAGATTTCTCAGCTCCCAATCTCTTGAACAGAGGACTGCAGAAAAGCACATGGCACAAAGGAGTCTCAGCTGTCCCTCATACACCTTCCCGCACTAACAAAACAACGTAAACTAGCGCTCACGTCATTTGGAGGCTGCCCTCGATCCGTTTCAAAGTTCAGATGCCAAAGGCATCGCATACCTCTTTTAGGTATGGCTTAGGCTGTGACCTGATTGACCGATCAGGTGGCGTACCTGGCATACATGTAAGGACTAGTAGTATATACATAGATGTGTATTCCTAACTCAGTTACACACAGGCACAAATTAAAAACTCGAAAAGAATTTGTTAGAAAGAAGATGATCCAGTTCCCAACTCCTCCTTCTTAAATAAAATGGGAAAAGTACCACAATATCCAAGTTCCAAAAAGTAGTAACATGGCATATAGCTCCTTCTGTCTCATTTGCAGCACTGCTAGCAGCATATAGATATTTTCATACATTTATCCAATAGTGATGATTTATAAGGACAAGTGGGATTCATCCTGTGGCTCCCTTGGCAGCTGATTCTGTAAAGATGACCTCCTCCCTACAGGCTGTGCGCCTGCGTGTTTGGCAGTCACCCTGGGAGAAGTATCAAGGCAGTGCTACCAGTAACCTTCCTGGAAATGGTGACAGTGAGAATATGGGAAGGAAAGAATCAGAATAAGAACGGTAGACTACTAGTTGGTAGGGAGGGCTTTCTCAGGATTTAAGAGTCTTTCCTGTTTGCCTCTAAGGACCCTATGTAATACAGCTGTGCCCTGGGTAAGAATTATAATTTGGTTGAGGATTTATTACTGGCTATGGTAATTGCATGGAACCATAATATCTTTACACAAAGACTAACGAAAAGAAATACATATATGACAGTAGCAAAACTGTAACTAGAAACAAAGTTTACTGAAGGTATAATATTGCAACATCTCCCATTTACAAATCATCAGGACAACTTATTTCACCTCCAGAGAAACTCAGAGGTGAACCTGTGGCCCAAATAACAGCTCAGCAGTATCTAAACCATTGCTGCCAGGTTACCCCATGCTGAGCAATCCACAGCTGGCTTAGCCAGAATGAGGAATGTTATGATTCTGAGAAAAACAATCCCTTGTGAGTGGTTTCATAATTAATTGCTCTTTGCTTTCTGAATATAAACTGCTAGTGTATCTAGCAGCTCTGACAGTGTATCAGCTTCCCTATGGACTTCCTCCCAAAATTTCCAAGATTAGAGACTGGGTTTATTTAATACCTGCCTCACAAAACCAATCAAGGTTGAGCGAGTAAACTTAAGATTATCAAAGTCTCGAGATGGTTCCTGCCCATGTATTCCAAATACTGCAGCCTGATATTCTTGATCTTTAGATTTGGAAAACATCTGCTGTTTTGGAAATTTCCTATGAATCAGCAAACTTGAGAAATACTCTTTCAGAAACAATGATCCAACCTAAAACATTATCTTCCTGAGCCTGCAGTTGATGCTTGAAGTTGGCACTCTTTTCAGCTTTGCACTGTTCATACACCACAGTACGCTGTTTATACCCAGTTACCTCTGAAATCTACGAATAGCACTATGAACTGCACTAATAAACCCTTAGCTTTCAGCTTTGATATGCTCTCACTTGGAGCTGGAGCAAGCAAGTAATTCCCCATCATGCAGTTTCCAAGCTCCCTGCACAGCCCTGGTTACAGCTGGGATATGACAGCTCCAGGCTCATGGTACCGTTACAAGCTATTGGTTCTTTACCCCTTCGACGGAGCTACATGAAGTCATGGAAGCTGGAAGCGCTACGATGCCCATCTCGGAGGTCATTTGCACATTAGCGTTTTGCCTAACGTGTGAACTCAGGAATCTTGGAACTCAGATGTGTGTAGCAGCCTGTCAAGTGGGACAGACACCTGCCCTTCTGATGAGTCAGTAAAATAAGAATACCAATAGCTGTGGGTGTCTGTTTATCTAGTAATCAATGGTCAGAAGTATTTCTTTCATCTTAACAAATATGATAGAAAGACACGTTAAAATTCAATGTTTAGAGGCAAAGTTTTTTGAGAACTTGTGCCTGGACATTTTGGCACAAATGTTTTCAGACATTTCTCTTTCCTTGTTAGTCTCTCACTGACATGGACTGAGAAACAAAAGCTTCTATTTGTTTTTGGCAGCTTCAGATTCTCAAATGAAGGACATAATTAAAACTAAGAGCTATGTCAACCAATCAAAGACAAGCTATTTCTAAATTGAGCCAAAAGTTGCCATTGGTTTCTTTGAAATATATAGCAACATGCCTTCGGATTTTCACTTCCACTCTTGTACAGTTTGGCATGCCTAATGTCTGCCTGACAGCTAGAAACTTGCAAGTCAGGGAGGAGGAATCATGCCTTGCCACTCAGGCTTTCTCTTGTTTCCTTAGCGTATGGAGAAAGGCATTCAGCCTGAAAGTTTGTGTTTGTTCTTTACGTAAATAAACATTGTCTCCAAAAACGTACTGTAAGTCAACCAAGTCTGACTGGCTGCCAGCTGAAATAGAAGGATTCTTCTGGTGTGTTTACTGATAAATAACTGCATGGTGATTATGCAAACCAGACACCCACACCCAGAATGAGAGGGTGTCAGAACTGACAAGGAAATGTATGGTTATGCATCAGCAACTGTACAACAACCTTGCAGCCTCACTTGCTACGAATTGTTTTCAATATAATCAGTCTTGTTGAGCGTAAAGAGGCAAATGCTGGCAGTATCTCAAAATAAAACACATTTCTGGATCAACTTTGCATCAAACAAACATACTCTGCTTTAATAGTAAAGCAAAGCTACTTGGGGGTTTTTAAATTCCCTTTTGAAAAACAAACCTTTTGTAACAAACCTGAAATTTTACTACTTTCCAGTGTGAACACGTAGCATTCACATTGATTTCTATCACATCCTTACAAAAATTAAAGGGAAAAAAATAGGCCAGGTTCCATTCATTTATTATATGTGTTTTTGCAGGACTCCTTTATAAACAGTTCTTGAAAAAAAAGGGAAAACTAATAAAAGCTGAGTTTACTTTTCTTATGAAGGGTTGAAGAGAAGGGAAGAAAAATGGAGGGATTCATGGACCACACATTTATCCCTTCTTTGCTGCTATCTATTTCTAGTGAGTTCATCTCTGAGCAAAAAGGCTAGACACAGCTCCCTCCGGAGCTCATCAGCAAGCAAAGGGCACTGGAGAACAATGCTGAACATCCTCCTCCTCCCTTCTCCAGAATACCAAGCAAACCTGCAGTCTGACCTCCGATCTCTGTTACAGCAGCATACCTTCTTGCCGCTTGTCTCTCAGCCATGCTATCTAGCTTTTACATACTGTTTTAAAACAGAGACTACATTTCTGCACGCATGTATTTTACGTTGTCAAGCCCAATCATGCAGACGTTGTATCACATAAATCATTACACTGACATCTG